GGGGGGCGCCGCGGGCCGGACGGAGCCCGGGCAGGGGCCGCCGCCGCCGCCGCCTCTCGCGGCAGCCCGGGCCGGAGCGCGGCGGCGCGGACCCCGCCCGCCCGCGAGGAGCGGTCGTGCTGCAGCTCGCCTGGGCTGTGGGCGCCCTTTCGGTGTGCAGTTCGCCGCCGCCGCCGCCCGTCTGAGAGCCGCGAGAGGCGACGCCTGGAGGACGGCAGCTGCCGCCGCTACTGCCGCTGCCTCAGCGCCACGGGGCCCGAGGCGCCCCCAGCGGCGGCGGCTAGCAGCGCACCGCGGGGCGGAAGCGGGAGGGCGGGCGAGGAAATTCGGGGCGGGCGGGCGCTTCGCCGGGAACTGACCCACGACGGCAGTTAGAGCGTCACGCCTCTCTGGAGTTAAAAAAAGACAAACCCAACCAAAAAGGAGCTTCCTTCTATGGCTTCCTCTCAGCCTTGTTTCAGTTTTTGCCCCGCCTCCTTTTCCCCCTCCCCCTCCAGTGATTTTTTTTTTTTCTCTTGGGTTTGAGAGTCATGGGTTAATAGGGTTAATCGGAATCTCCACGACGTTATTTTGGTCAAATCGAAATCCTAAAACTAAGATTTCCTTTAGATACTCTAAGTTCACAAGGCTTCTAATATAAAATGAGGACGAGGTAGGAAAAAGGAAAGGGATTAAAATGTATTGAGGGCCTGCCAGGTGCCCAGGCACTGCACTGCTCTAGGCGTTTTCTCTTATTTATATTTTAATTCCTGTCCCCCAGGATAAGAGTACAGGAGGGGTTAAAATAATACCTTCCCTTTTCAAATACGGCTGTCAGTAACGGAGAACTGAAAAGCCGGAAAATAAAGTCTCCCTAAGATGCATAGCAATTACTTTCCTCCCATAGGCATGTATATGTTGTTACAATATATGTTGCCTACTTGGTTGCATAAAGTTAGTTTTTTCAAACTGAGTTATTGTCCTTTTAACTCAAGATTCCCTCCCACTAATTTCTGAAAAAGCGTAATTGCAGAGATTCTCATTCCCAGTTCACTCATTTATTCATGCATTCATTCCTATAAAATAGTTTTTAATCACCTTAGAATGTCAAGCACTGGCTAGACCCAGTGATCAAAAAAACAAAAACCTGCCCTCAAGAATTTTACCATCTAGTGAGAGACATATGTAAATCAGTCATTAAAAACTAAATCTAGCATCAAGTTGTTTGTTCAGAATAAAGAAGCAATTTGTCTAGAATTTAGAAGAGGAAGCAATTAGGTGAAGTTAACCTGTGTTCTGAATTTCAAAGAATGTGTAGGATTTGCCTGAGGTGTTCCAGGTGGAAGAAATAGAAGACCCAGAGGCAGAGTTTAGGAGTTGGGCTTGGGGGTTTGGTGGTGGATAAAGCTGGTTGCCCACCAGGACAGGAGAGGAAAGGCAGTGGGAAGTGTTAAGGGGAGTTTGGGGTTTATAACTTGGACATATAGATGCATGTTAATTCTACTGGCTGAGTTTTGCAAGCAGGAGGGCAGGTTGGGAATGAAAGAGTTATTTGAACTGCCTGTGAGATATCCCAGGAGAGTGGGCAGCCTTAGCTCAGGTGAAAGGTTAAGATTAAAAACATGAGAGAATTAGGGTATTCTCTGATGGCTGAAACCTCAAAGGTGGAGAAAAATGAGTTACTCTGAAGAATATTTAATGGGTAGATGGAAGAAGAGGAGTCTGTGAAGGTGCCTGAGAACAGTCAGAGAAAGAGATCAAGAAAGAGAGATGGAAGAAAAAGAAAAGAAAGAAAGAAAGAAAAGAAAGAAAGAAAGAAAGAAAAAAAAGAAAAAGAAAAGGAGATGAGCTGGAAACCAAGAGTTTTAATCATTTAACATTCATAGTTATTAAGACCTACTGTGTGCCAGGCACTATGCCACTATGCTTGGGGCTAGAGATAGAAATGAACAAGACACACAGGGGCTTATAAATGAATGGAGGATCGCATAGATATGCAAACAAATCAATGAGAGAGAGAGAGACAGATCCATGATCCCCAGTCAACAGAGGGAGTTTCCAGAAAGTGCTGCAGAGCATTTCTAGGGGATTTGGACTGAAAAGAATCTATTACATTGAAGAGCTAGGAGGTCATTGGTACTATTGGCAAGAGAAGTCCCCATAAAAAGTGGTGGCAAAGTAAGATTAAAAAGGTCTGGGAAGTAAATGGAAGGTAGTAATGAGGAGTGGGTGACTAAAAACTATTTTTTATGATTTTTGCCAGTGAATGAGAAGAGAGGACAGTAGCTAGAGGAGGAGGGCTCAAGCTTTTTCAGGTACTCTCTAAGATTTAGTGAGAGCCTATTATGTACCAAGCACCTTAATAGGTCCTGGAGATCTGAGCTGCAGTCCCTGTTCTATATCTTACAGTCTACCAGAGGACACAAATAAATATTCAGGCAGTGGCAGTACAATGTAACATTGAGTTCTATCTGTATGTGATGGTGATTAGAGGCTCCCTTGGGAGCACATACTAACCTCTAACTAGGATAAGTAGGTTTATGGAAGAGTTCCTGGGGTAAGTGACATTTGCACTGATGTCTGAATGATGAGAGTGGGGGGTAGGGAGCAGTTTCCAGGAAGAAGGTACTGCATGTGCAAAAGCTCAGAGGAAGAGAGACCATGCTGCAGGAGGAACTGAAAGTTGTTCAGTCTGGCTGCAACTTACAGTGGGGTGTGGTGACAGGGATACAATAGGCAGCCATTGACGTTTTAACACAGAGGAATTGTGAAGGGGCCTGATTTGCATTTTTTTTAAGATCTCCAGCTGGAGGAAGGGAGTCTAATACTCTCTTGTTGATCCATGGTTTGAATGAATTAAAGCCCAGACAAGAAACAGACATCAAACTCAAAGTGTTTAAATGAGGAAAGTTCAATGAAAGGACTCTACTGAGGGCAGGGTAAGGGACCCACAGTCTGCTGGGGAGCTGAAAGGAGGGAGGATAAGTATCCTGACCTCTCTCACTTCTTGCCTCCTGCTGGTACCTCCCATGATCCAAAGCCAGATGGCAAAGGAACCTGGAAGATGCAGTTCATAGAAGATGGGCTCAACCAGTACCTGGTATTAGTGGGTGTTCAATAAATGTTTCTTGAAATGATCTGAAGGTGCTAGACATGAGCTAAGACTACTTGTGTCAGAGATTTGGTAGTTCTTACAGTCTCCTCTACTATGAGAAGAAAGTATTAAAGGTCTTCAACTAAAAGGAGTGGGCAAAATAAAAAGTAACCATACCAAACAATTAGAGAATAATTATATAAGTTAAAGTTAGGTTAAGCTACAAATAAAAGAAAACTCAAACAACAGTGGCTTAAATATGACAGAAGCTTATTTCTCTCTTAATTAAAGTCAGGAGGTAAGCAGTGCAAAGCTGGTAGGAGAGCTCCATGATTATCGGGGACCTCAGCTCTGTTTTTCCATCATCCTTAACATGTGCCTTTCACCCTGTGGTCTAAGATGGCTGCTTAAGCTCCAGCACCATTTCTCACTTCCAGCCAGGAAGAAGCTGGAAGGAAGAAAGGTATACCCCCTCCCTTCAAGAACACTTCCTGAAAGATGCAAAGTCTACTTTTACTTAAAATCTATTGGCCAGTGGAATGTGAACAGAAATAATGGCACCAATTCCAGGCCTGGCTCACAGAAACTTCCCACCCATGATCTTCCCTCTCTTCTGGTCTCTGCTGGTTGGAATTTGGTGTCAGGGGAAGCTTTTGAAGTTACTTGTTGAAGATGACAGAGCCTCCTAGAAGCCTGGGTCCATAGGTGACCGTATGGCAAAGGGTTATTCCCTCGCTCCTCCACCCCTGACCAGGAACACTTATACTGAACTGTTAGGTGAGCAAGAAACGAATTTTACTGGGTCTTTTTGAGGTATGTTTGCCCCAATAGCTAGCATTACCTTAATACAGAAATTGTTACAGAATAGGGTGCTATCATGCAAATCTAAAATTAGGCAGGCAGTAGACAACAAGGAAACTATTATTAGGAGCTGGAAAATGGAAACCCATGGCAAGACATTTGGTAAAAAAGTTCCGTGCAGTATTTCAGAAGGCAAATAAGGTGACTACAAAGCCCATAGCTCTAGAAGGGGTTGGAAAAGGAAATGTTAGTAGGTTAAGTTTACTGGCTACATTTAGCAAGATATTAGAAAGATGAGATGAGCTCATGCAATAATAAGCAGGTATGCAAACAAAAATGAAAAGGAATAGAGAGAGTACAAAAACTTGGAGCCCCAAGGGATTGGAAAAACTGACTGCTCTATACTTCAAAGAATAGGAAATAAGATTGAAAGAGCTTTTGAGCAACAAGGCCCCATTAAAATTCAGCCATGCCATAAAGATTAGATTTAGGGTGTGGCCTTCACATTTAAGTCTGCTAGCCCTTTGAGAGGGGGAGAATTGTTGGGGTGAAAAAGCAAAGAAATAAATTAGGGCTGAGAATTACCTCTAGGAAAGAACTTTAGTGTTACTGGCCTAGGGAACTGACTGGATGCAAACAGATCAGAAGTCTTTCAGTTTTTGAGGGACTGT